TAGAATAGAATAGAATAGAATAGAATAGAATAGAATAGAATAGAATAGAATAGAATAGAATAGAATAGAATAGAATTCTTTATTGGCCAAGTGTGACTGGACACACAAAGAATTTGTCTTGGTGCAAATGCTCTCAATGTACATAAACGAAAAGATACATTCATCAAGAGTCAAGAATCATAAAGTACAACACTTAACGATAGTCATAGAGTACAATAAGCAATCAAATCATACTAGGAAACAGTCAATATAAATCATAAGGATACAAGCGACTAAGTTACAGTCATACAGTCACAAGTGGGAGGGGATGGGTGATAAGGAGTGATGAGAAGATTAACAGTAATAGTAGTGTAGGTTTGTGAAACTCCTACTAGCCTACCATCTTCAAATAACATTTTACCCTTCAAAATCTCTATTACTAGCAGGCATGAATAAGTTAAGGGTGTTTCATTTTTCAAAAACATAAAGCTAAATGGGTTTCTATATTGACTGTTTCTTAGTATGATTTGATTGCTTATTGTACCCTATGACTATCATTAAGTGTTGTACCTTATGATTCTTGACTCTTGATGAATGTATCTTTTCGTTTATGTACATTGGAAGCATTTGCACCAAGACAAATTCCTTGTGTGTCCAATCACACTTGTCCAATAAAAGAATTCTAATTCTAATTCACCAATGATAACAATACAAAAAGTATAATATTTTCAAGGCTATTACTAAACCTTCCCCAAAATGCCTTCAATTAAACCTTCCCATTCTGTAGTTGGAGGTTAAATATTAGGAAATCAAAATGTCCTAAGGTAATCAGTTGAAATTTTGTCAGCGCTATAGATAAAATCTACTCTCTTCTGACATTGACTCAGGACAAGGAATTCATTAAAGAATAGAACTGCAGACAAAATGTTTTCACTCATTTTCATTTGTTGGCCTCCAGATGGATTGGACTGCAGTCCCTATATTTCCCCATATGTCATAAGGAAAATCCTGCACATCAAGAGGGCACCAGAACATGAAAGATGTCTAACAATATAAAATTATTCTTCCAATAAAGTGAAGTCACTTGCCTCTCTTGTTCCTCCTATCTGTATCAACACAGGAACCACAGCATGAAGAATTTATGTGGAGTCAAACAAAATACCCACATGGCTACTCAGGCATCACATTTACAATCATTGTTCCAATCATCAAAGTAAAGTCTTTGCTACTCTTCCTTTTTAACAAATGCAAATGACAGCATTAAAATAAAGAGTCTATTTAGGGACTCCAAGGTCTCCAAGGAATTTGGTACCAGTTGGATTTGAGTTTCATTAGAACAGAAGTGCACTTAGACAAAATCTTTTTGAAATGCAACAGCATCAAATTAAAAATAGTTACTTTACAATGCTATTAATCATAAAAAACAATCTTCTTTGAATTCAAAGGGACTTTCTGCAGGAAAGTACAAATAGTGTTTAAATATTAATGATATACATCTCCATTTAACTCAACGAATTACATTTATTCAAGCAAACCCACTGTTTGTTTCCTTGGAACAGGATTTCTTCAAAAGGTTATTTCTATTTTGCAGCTCTAATCTATAACAAGCATTCTGTGTCTATAGGTGACAATTTCTGTATATAGGTTTTAAATCTCCAGTTGTGAACAGGGCACAAACATGATAAAATAAGATCTTACCTATTAGTTTCATATTCCTATCTCTTGTCTCCAAAGGAAAATGTCATTTTTTCATCTATAATCCAGAGTCTTGTGGATTGCATAACTGCAATTTCTGCCATGCCTTCTACATGGATAAAAGTTGCCACCTCCTACCACCCACCATTCCAATATTCCAAATAATCTATATCTGCCTGTCTTGATTTTAATAAATATGTTGCCAACTCATAAAACATTTTGTATACATGTTTTATAGTTGACAACAGAAAGAGTGGGGGGAGTTTCAAAGAGCAAGCAACAGTGTGGAATTGAAAGTACATTCCATTCATATTTTCTTCAAAGACTGATTAGATGGCTGAAGCTTCTGCCACAAAAAAATCTAATTGGAGAACATGATTGATGACTCTTGGCTATGAATGTTTTTCATTGGATGATACACCCAGAGGGGTGAGGGGAAAAGCAGGATCAAGGGTGACAGTAAATTACATATCTCAGAGTTGGCTACGCCCAGGTTAGTGCTGGACATAGAATGGTAGCTTCAAATAAATCCTCTTTAGTTTTGGGAGTGAGGCTTGAGGCTCATGATTTAATTGGAGTAACTGCCGGAACCCCAACATATGTTATTTTGTATTTATCCATTGATTTCTTATAAAGGATTTTGGTATTTGTGGGACAAACAGCCCCAACCACCTCACAAGGTAGCTTTGTCTAGCAAAATGGGATGAGGGAGGACTATTAACACTGCTATGAGCTTCTAAAAGAAATGTGGGAAATAAATCTAAAAAATAAGCGCATACATACATACATGCAATTGATTCTTAAAGGGGAACTTTTCAGCACAAAATTGCTTCTAGTGTTGAATGAGAGATGTTTTGATCTGTTTGTGAATGAATTGAATGAATTGAAATTGCTGCCAGTGTGGTCCTTCATATACTGTATCTTTCATCTTTGCAAATGTAACACAGAAAACTATTTATCAATACCTTGCCCTCTGAACATTCTTTATATTTCTGGCATAGCTTCAAACCACTGGAAATCAGTCCAGAGTTGCCAAAACTGAACATGTCACTTCTTTTGACAACTTCTGCTGGACTTCAGAGCAGGTTCACTCATTTTCCCCCCATGGGAGTTGAGCAATCTATTGACTCAAAATTTGTAAACAGATTCCTCTTATTCCAGTCTGCAATAAACAAGTTTTCTTACAAATCATGTTCCTGGTGACCTCATAAACATGTCCATGTTGTTTTCCTGGAAACACCAGGAAGTAGTTTATCATAGTCTTCTTTCATGTTTTGATTTCATTTGAATTTTTTTCTTTACCATTTAGTCTAGCCCCTTGCTCTGAG